GTAATTTATGATTACTCACTCCCCCTTTACTATGCAGGTAACCTTAGAAGGAAGGGCGTTGCGGGGTCAGAGGACGGTGCCAGGCGTNGCATTGCATTGTAGAGTTGCATTATTGTTTGTTGCTTGAGCATGGGCTAAGGGGGATCGTTGTTGTTGTTTTGCTTTGGGAGCTCGCTGAGTAATTTATGATTACTCACTCCCCCTTTACTATGCAGGTAACCTTAGAAGGAAGGGCGTTGCGGGGTCAGAGGACGGTGCCAGGCGTAGTTTCGTGTTGTTGTTTGCAAAGACGAAGATGTTTCTGTTTACTTTGGTTTTACTGTTTATGGGTACCCTTTTCTCGTGTTTTCACTTATGTTTTTATGCTTTCGCACTCTGAGGACAAGTCGAGTTCCCGAACTTTTTAAAATAAATAAAACTTATGTTTGTATATTAAAATCCCCGCTGTACGCTGATATTTAGTTTAGTCCGGACTTACACAACTCTCGACCAAGGTACGGGTTGGCCGACCTTAGGCCGAGGTCGAGAGGGGCGGGTTAAGTGGTTGGTTTGGTCGAGACTTTGGTTTTGGTCTAAGGTTTTGGTCAAATCGATTGCTTTGCTCGCCAACTTGTGACGCTTCCGGGTCGTCTTGGGTTAGTCCGACCTAGGACGGTTCGGGGGTGTTACAATCAAGACCTCCATCTCTTGGTAGTAGTCTTCCACGGACTTGGATCCTTGAAGCAAACGTCTCAGCTTGTGGTGAAGGTCACGGTGATAGTGAGTAGGCACAAATCGTCTCCTCATCAGCATGGTAAGCTCATCCCATGTCTCAATTGGTGGTTCACCTGTTCTTCTCCTGTGAGTCAACACTTGATCATACCAATTAATAGCATAGCCAGAAAATTCAGTAGCAGCAAGTCTAATTTTTCTAAGTTCTGAAAATTTTTGACAATCAAAGACATGCTCTATTTTTATTTCCCATTCAAGGAAGGCATCCGGATCATTTTTACCATCAAAAGGTGGTATTTTCAGTTTCAATCCCTTCAAGCTATCATCAGTACGGTTGTTTCTAGCAAAAGGATTAACATCGCCTTGATCACGAGTTCTAGGACCTCTCCTTGGTTGATAGGCAGATCTGACCTCATCATCATTGTCGAACTCATTGTCTGACCGGTGGCTCCTTCTTGGTTGGTTGGTTCTTGTTCTAGCTCTAGGGTGAGACTGACTTGCCTGGATAGTATCAAGCCTCTCATGGATCTGGTCTAAACCTGCATTCAACATGTTAGTCAAAGATTCATTCAAGGCTCGGATTTGAAGGTTAGATAATCCAGTACGGGAGTTTCTAGGACGGTCTCGTTCATCATCACTACTCATGGTTCCTGAAATATCTTAAACACAAAACGTTAGGATAAAAGAAGCCTCACACACTCAGGTGTTTGTTCCTCACCCACACACGTGTTTCTCACAATTTTATAGTAATCACTCAAGTTATCACCCAATGTTCTAAGCAAAACTGATCTCGGAATCTCAATGGTCAAACTCAAGCTAAACACAAGGGAATTTTAAAGAGAGAAAGATAAGAGATTTAGGTTTTGGGAACCCGTTTTAACCAACTCTAAGACCGGATTTCTCCTCGGCCAGCAGGCTTTCTCTTCCACCACCACACCACAATATATATTTTTTTTTTTATACTTTTCTTTTCTTTTTTTGAATCCTTTTTTTTATTGAATGGTGGGTAAAGAGTGGCCCGAGTTCTAGATAGACAGTAGAAGAAATAATCAGAAGAAGATGGAAGATGAGAATATGGATCGATATAGAAGATACCAGACGAGTGGCTCTGATACCACTTGAAGGACCCTAAGATCGAAACTGCACTCGACTGGATCTGTTGAGGATATGAACTCCAGAAAGGAGAACTGATGGATTGAAGGGTCGCACAAGGGATGCGGAATGGCCCTTGATATTCCCGACTTCAGTGGCGCTTGATATGACTCACAAGTCAGACTCAAACCGGTTGCTTGATATGACTCACAAGACCAACTAGTTGAGAAGTGTTTAACTTGGATATGACTCACCAAGAAAACAAAGAAGTTCTAAGAAGAACAAAGAGTGAAAACTCACAAAGCTTTTAGCAAAAACAATCTGATTTTATTCATGGGAGAAAAGACTTATTTATAGTACAAGTAGAAGACAAAGGGGATACCTGACTAGAAGTTTGAAAGACATAAATAATTAAAGACATTGACTAAGAATTTTGAAAGACAAAAGAAAAACTCTTGAAATTCGGTTGCTTGGTCAAAGTGACCCTTCGGCTGGTCTGTGTCCGGATGGGTGAACCGCGGTAAGAAGCAGTACGGCCGCGGGATAGTCCGAGTGACCCATCATGTCCGTTTCATGAACCAAACTTGCCCAAGTACGTCCCAAGTTGTCTGAAAGGTGAAGAATCTGTGCCTTAGAGAGAAACGGATAATCAAAGTGCATGAGCTGATCAAATGGGTCGATCAGTTCATCAATATGGTTGTCAGTACGGTCGTCAGTACGTGCATCACGTCCCAGCCGAGTGAGAAGAGAGAAATCACGTCCTGATTCTTGTTCAGCTTGTCCTAAGTTGATTCTGGCTTGACTGTTGGTCTTAGATTGGCAAGTTTTTCGGGAAAGAGGAGGTCTGGTACGGTCAGTTCGGTCATCAGGTCGCGGATCCAGCCTAAGCTCTTTTCCGGACGTCCGTGGGTCAATCCGGTACACGGCCCGGCCATACTGATCAGTACGGCTGAAATGATGAACCTCGGATGGATTGTTCTGATCGTCCAGCTGGTCTGCTTCCATGGACTGATCCATGGTCTGAGGCACATCACAGTTCACTATATAGCACTAAGTGTGTTCCTCTCGAGACCGACTGGATCAGCCGATAGGATTTATGAAAAAAAGAAAAAGATGTAAGATTGATCAGTAGTCTGGTAGAGCTCTTCTTGTTAGCGGATCATGTGTTATGATTTTTATTTTTCAAATTATTTTAAGCTTTGTCGTGAGCTCAAAGGGATGTGATCTCAATCACTTGGCAGTCAAGGAAAACTCTTGTTGATTATATCGATTTCCTTTGATTTTGATTGAGGAATAATTACTCTTTGTTTCTTTCAAGTTTCAATAACTGACTGTAATCTTATCTCATAATTTAAGTAGATCTTGTGTTTTGAGTATATCAACTTATGTTTTGACTTCAAAGAATATGAATTCCCTTCAAAATACCAACAAAGTCATTGCCAACATTTATGCTCTTAGTTAACTAACATTTACGAAAGTCAAAGGAGAAATAAAATGCTTTTCTTTCTCTAAAACATTATCGCTAAGTTATATCTGAGAATACAACCTGATTAAACTCCAGAATTTGGCTCCATAATGATCACAGCAAAAAACACAATTTGCTGCCATCACGGGGAAAAAGAATATGAAGTACGATGATTAAAATAATGTTTAGTGGTATAATTTGACTCTTGTCTCAACAACAATCTAACGACGAAATGATTCGTACATGAATGAATTGCTTGTTGTTCACTAACGTGATAATACATTTAAGTAAATGGATTTGGAATTTCTTTTTACATAGATGACAATCTCTTTTTCTCTGGTAGTCTATACATATAAATATATGTGTGTTTTGGAATTTGGTGTTGTTAGAAGTGGAAGCAAATGGATTGGTGTGAATCACACCGTGTGATTAAGAATATAATCACTGTTTGCTTTTGGGGAATTCCATGGCTGTAATGTAGTTTCAGGTAAGCACATATGGTTCTCATAAGTTTATCTCATTTCTAATTGTCAATATCTACGAATATCAGAAACGAAAGAAAAAAAAGAAAGAGAGAGTGGTTTTTAATCATCTGACAGAATAAACTAGGGACTGACCGGTTACAAAGCGATTGCGGTTGCGATTGCGGGTTTTTGCGGATGCGGGAGATTGCGGTTTTAAGCATTAGTAAGAGATTTATACGACTAGTTCAACGATTAAAAATTGTTGCGTTTGCGGGATACTTATGACTGGTTTATCATCAAATACAACAGCGGTTAACTAATAAATTAACAATATTTATATTTTATATAATTATCAAAATATTAAAATTATATTTTTATGATAAATATAAAAAATTTATTAAGAAACTGCACTATTAAATTTTTAGAAAATTAAAGAAAATATTTTTTTGGAAATTTTATAATATAAATATTTCAGTATTTCAATTATTGTAATTTAAAATTTTAATTAAATATTTAATTTTCTATTTATATAGTTTTTGGAGAAAAAAATATTTTTCATCATCCCGCAATCACCCGCAACCGCAAACACTGGCTGGAACCAGCTTTTGAATTTTAGAGATTCAGAGCGATTTGAAGCGGTTTATAGCGTTTTCTATGATTGTTGCAAAACGCCAGCAACCGCTACCAACCGCAAAAGCTGCGTTTACGAGTGATGGCGGAAGAACCAGTCAGGCTGTCTTTGTAACAGACAAAACTAATTAATCGTTAGTGACATGAATTTGGAGCTAAGCTACTTTAGATACTCCATGCCTTCATCATGCATTGACATTTATATACTCTTTGCTTCTCTGATGGTGTAAGGAGCAAACTCAACGACATAGAAAAGGCAACATAGGAGCAAACCGAAAACCAAATGGGTGTACATGAACATAGAAAATACGAATTTATACCTAAAATATTATTAGCTAGTTAAGTTAAGGTGCAATTAAAAATCTCCACAGATTAGAAGCAAAATGATATATTTCCATTTTTTATAATAATAATTATTATTATTATTAATAGATTATGAGGTAGGCATGAATGGACCCTTTTTGTTTCCTCTTTCTCTTGTTAACAGAACCAACACAGAGCCATGAATTGATTTATAGGCCGGCCCATGAGTCAGTGCATATAACATGTTAAAAGCCGGAAGGAAACCCCCTAAGCAAGCTAAGCTAAAGATCGAGAATTGAGCTTGTAAAAAAAAATAGGTTAAGAGGGTAGGAAAGATGGATAACTACAAGGCGGCGCCTAAGTACGCGAATGCTAAAACGGCGGTGTGGTGGGACATGAACTCATGTCCGGTTCCAGAAGGTTATAATGCTGGTTGGGTTCGGCCGAGTATAGAAGGGGCGCTGAAGGAGTTGGGATACTATGGTCCTGTAACCATCACTGCCATGGGCGACCTGAATGAGGCACATCCTCATTTCCTGCAAAGGCTCTCTTCCACTGAAATCGTTGTTCAACACGCCATCACCGGTTAGTTAATTTATCCTCCTCCTCTTGAATTTTTAATTTTTTGGAAGTTTTGTGGATTCTTCAAACTTGTCCTTTCACAGCTTGGTTAGACACACTCGTTTTCAGTGATTTGATGGAATTCAAAAGAAATAATCCACCACCAGCTACAATAATGCTCATATCCGATAGGTTGGAGGGAGAATTGGGTTTCCCTCTTGGCTGGAATAAACAAATTCAAAGTGGATACAACCTTGTTCTGGCGAGTTTATGTGGTGGGTCTCTGTCACGTCTCCACCATACTGCAAACTGGCGCCGGAAAATCCTACTGGAGGCGGCGGCAGATTCAGTGTCTCAGGAGACAACAACAACAAGTTATGTTCTTCGGAAATGCAGTTCGTCAGGCGATTCCTCTACCTTGTCGTCATTTGTTTGTAGAGCATGCAAATTTACTGGCCTAAGCGTTGCAAGTTTCACCAGTCATCTCTCCACTGAAGAACATAAAAAGACGGTAAGCTCACCCTCTTCCTTGTCATCTCTCTCTGCTTCTTGTATGAAATACATTGTCTAACTATTTGAATTAATTTCTCAACAGGACAAGGAGGCGAAGGAGAACTTCAGTGTGCCAGACTTCTCACCTTTCTTAACAGTAAAGGAAAGTTTTAACTAATACTTAGTATGTTTTTTTTCTTGACAGTTGTTGGTTTATTGACGTTTTTAGATGAACGACCAAGCCGTGCCTGAGTATGTGAATTCTAAAACGGCTGTGTGGTGGGACATGGACACCTGTCCACTTCCCCATGGTTACGATGCTCGCCGGGTCCGCCCAAGTATAGAAGGGGCCTTGAAGGATTTGGGATACTATGGTCCTGTAACCATCAATGTCATGGGCAACCTGGAAAATGCACATCCTCACGTCCTGCAAGGGCTCTCTTCCACTGGAATCCTGGTTCAACACACCAGTTTGTTATTTATCCTCCTGAATTTATTTTTTTTATATGTTTTAGTAACTTTAAAGAGTTTGGTTTCTTCAACTGTCCTTTTCCTTTGTTCATACAGCTAGGGTAACCTTATATATTTCTCATGATTTGCTGAAATTCAAAAGAAATAATCCACCACCAGCTACAATAATGTTCATATCTGATAGAGTGGAACCCGTGTTGTCTCTAGTCCTTTCTCTGGATCAACAAAGGAGGTACTACAACCTTGTTCTGGCACGTACATTTACTCCTCCGAGTATGTCACGTCTCTGCCATACTTCAGAGTGGCTCTGGCAAACCCTACTGGCTAGGTCTCCGGAGACAACAAGTTGTGTTCTTCGCAACTCTGCCTCGTCATTTCGTTGCGGATCATACAACTTTACTGGCCTAAGCGTTACAGATTTCACTAGGCATTTCTCCTCTGAAAAACATAAAAAACAAGTAAGTTCATCCCTCATCTCTCTCTTACTTTCTTGCATCAGTTTGCATTTTTCTTTGTCTAACTATTTGAGAATTTCTCAACAGGAGCCAGAGGACAGTGATGAGGGCGAGGACAGTGACAGTGACAATGACGAGGAATCAATGGCAAAGGCAAGTTTTAATTGTGATGCCTCTTGATGAAAAAACTATAAAGAAAAGCATGAAAATTGGTTTTAATTGGTTTTCACGGTCCAAGCATCATGTCTCCAAAATACTCATTTCTTTAAAACAATTGTTGCAGATTCCAAAGCGAAAACGTTCGAGGAAGGAAAGCACTCCGGATGACTCATGTACTTCTTTTTAATAGGTGTCCCCTCCTGGCGTGGCCGCCCATGATAATCTTAAGCCTTCAACAAAGATAAATGGTTGCACGAGTGTGTGATAAGATCAGTTTTTATTTTATTTCATGTTTCTGTCTTTTGTGTTCCAAAGGATGATTTGAGGAGTGACTCGTGTAACATCCCTGATCCTAGATAAGGATCGTCGGGACGGCCATGGGTCGAGGAAACGTACCAGCCAGTCTTAGGACCCTAAGGCAAGCATTCCATGTCCATAATAAAAGGTTAAGGACATCAGGATATTGAGACTTAACCTTGTAAGGGAAAGAAATAAGCTAGACGAGCCAACCGGTAGATGGCCGGAGTGAACGGGAAGCTCGACCAGCTCAGTGAAGCTTGGATCAGCTCGCCTCAGCTCAGCCAGTACTAAGTCAGCTCCACTAGCTGAAATACTAGCTCACTCAGCTGGACCAGCTGGGAGTCAGCTCAACTCAGCTCGACCGAGTGTTCGGGTCTCGGGTCAGTGGACCGGGTCCGGGCCGGTGGTGGGCTGGATGGTTAGGTCCGGTTGGTTATGGGTCAGTCACGTGTTGGGCTTGGACTGGGGCAAAGTCGGACGGCCTGGACATGTAAATGGGCTTCTTCCTGACCAATAACTTGGGCGGTTTAGGCGAGAAGGTGCAAGGGCCAGAAAGGTGCAGCCTTTGGCAGTTGATACCTGTTCGTGGGGTAAGACTTACCCCCTCGTTTCCTATTAATATATGTCCTCTCTGTCCATTTTATTCATTCAGTTCCAGAGTAAAATACTCAGAGAAAAACGTAGAGAGAAAGAGAGAGAGATAATTCCGGCCAAGAGCAAGGCTGTTTGTGGTGGTGTTTATTCCGGCGACTCGGATCGTTTTGGAACTAACTCCTATCAAGCATGGAGAAGCAAGACAAGGAGAAGATGGTGGAGAACCCAGTCGTGGTTCAGAAGGTATGTGATGGGCCGTGGTTCCATCAGATTCAATGGACGATCCATGCGATCGTACTGGCAGTTATGTTGGTTCCTAAGTCTCATCCGGTTTCTCCTTATCTGTTTCAATTCGTTTCTCTTCTTCTCTGGTTATACACGAAGGTTTGTGATGGTTGGGTCTAAAGGACACGTCCTTAGCCGTAAACTAATCATAATCAAACCGCAACCTAGATTCAAGGTTGGTTAAGCGGTGCAGTCCGATTGTCCTATAGTAATGGGCAGTTGTTCTGAACGGTTGGGAATCACCAAAGGGTGCGTGTTGCCAAAGGTCACGTGTTGCCAAGGGTTGTGAGTGACCAAGAGATGCAAGTAACCACGAGGTACTAGTTACCCAAGGGTTACGAGTATCAAAGGGTACGAGGACCAAAAGGTACAATGACCAAAAGGTACGAACGCCCCAAGAGGTGCAAGTTCCGAAAGGTGTCTTTTGACACAGGTTATGTCTAAGCCTTATGTATTAGTTTATGGTTTGTAAAGCCAAGACAAGTACACGGTTTGTCTATATCAAGAGATGAGTCGCAAGGTCTGACCGGTTGCTATGCCTTCCGGATTGGGCTTGAGGCTTACTCGGCCGTATGGATCCAGGCCCAAGGCCGGATCAGGTAAGGATGTCCGTTGGGCCTTTGAGCCGGACATCATAAGCCGGTCATACCAAGATTCTAATCTGGATAAGATGGATTGGTCTATTGGGTGATCCGGATCTGTTTCGTGTATTGTCTGATTGATTACTTTGAATTGTCTATCTGTTTCCAAGTTATGTGGGGTGGTTGGTTGAATAACTTGGGACAAGGTAGACATGTTCTTAACATTTGATATAATATTGATTGAGGTTTATCTAAGTTTCTAGGAACCAAACCAAGCATTGTAGAATCAATCCGACTTAACTTCGGTTATGATTAATGTTTATCTGGTTACGGTTTCAGGAACTAAGGATGGTTCTGGTCAAGCCAAGGAGCTGTGAAGGCTCGGTCAGTGAGAGGCTCTGCGACGTGTGGGTAAATAATGTTAGGGAGGAACTGGTTTTTGTTTATGAAACTGTGAACAAGTTGTGTTTTGGATCTAATGTTTCTAAGTAATAATACATAAACATACTTATATTCCGATGTGCTATCTGTTGATTGTTTATGAACCTCATATCTGAATATGACTTAGTAAATAAAAGACTTTAAAATAATCAAACAAGCAAGAAATAAATAAGTAAGACCAACGGGTCCAGAATGGTCGAGTGACCAGGATTCAGGTGTTACAACTCGTTTGAAGTTCATTTTTATATGGATTGCAATGGATAATTTATGTATTTCAAAAATCTATGTTTGATAAATTACACTTCGACTATACTTGTCTTGTATTGAGTTTGTCCCTTCCTAATTATATAAACTGTTCAATACTGGTCTGGTTCCTTTTGCGTGGGGAACTTCTGGTGATAACCGTTAACCAAAAATAGTTTCTGCAAAAAAAGAACATTTTTTCTTAGAGAAGTCCAAAAAAAAAATTTCTTCCCATAAATAAATCCAGATATGCAGATCCAGATATGCAAGGATTGAGATATGCATGACACAAAGAGCATTTTCTTGAGGCCTTTAGCCCAATTGCATGTGGTTATACCGATATGGTTCTTGGCTATTATCTTTCCGGTCCAATCAATTCAGCGGTTGATGTTTTTCTGGTTAGCTTCACCGTCTATATCATCCTTGCCCTCGCGCACATGCTCACTTACCGATCTGTTTCCGCTGTCAGGTTTGCTTTTAGAGATCTTCTCTCTTTAACTAGCGCCATATATAAAACTTAAACTTAAATATCAAAACTACAAATGGTTTACATTTTGCGCAATAACATAGATTAAGATATTATAACATATTAAAATATTATCGTAGCTTGATTGAAAACAATGGTTTACATTTACAAATGTTACCTATAATCATAATAATTCTCCTATTGATCTGCGATTATTAAATAATTCTATAGTTAAGGTTTAGGGTTTAGGGATTAGGGTTTAGGGATCAGGATTTAGGGTTTAGGGTTTAGGAATTAGGATTTAGGGTTTAGGGTTTAGTTTCAGTGAGAAATATCTATCATTTTTTCAACTTATATAATAGTGCCTTTTATATAGTTGGAACAAATATATACTTCTAAGTAACCGAATAAAAATATTGTCATTAAAAAGTTAAGTATGCAAAAACTATATTTAAAATATGCAATGAAAAAAATCTTTAGTATATAAATATAATACTTAGAATACATTAAAATTAATACAATATATTTCTAAAAATTAACTTCTTTAAAATTAATTTCATAAATATAAATATAAAAAATATAGCATATCTAACATCTATGATTATAGCATATCTAACATCACAGAGAAAGTTTTCTTCACCGTTAACATTTTTGTTACAACAAGTAGCGAGAACATGCCACTAGTAGCAACCATTACCAGAGGTTCATCACAACTAGAAACCCTGAGGTTACACATACTGAAACTCTTGACGAAGCTAGTGCCCTAAGCTTTTCCGAACAAAAGCTACTTGAAAATATAATTTTCAATTCCAAATAGTTGACTACTAAAAGGGAATGTGAAAAAAGGATCATCTCGCCCTGGTCCTAGGATAAAGTCTGTGAAGCATGGGTTTCAGGCGCCAACAATTATAACCAATCTTTGGGCGCCAAGGAAACATTTGTGCGAATATTTTGGCAAAGAGATCGTTAAATTATAATTTACAGTCTGCTATACTTCATTCGTGTCCATCTTTTTTGGGTACATTCGGTTGTATCTGACAATGTTGTTTACGACAATCTATTTCCCCACAAGAAATATCATATAACACCAAATATCCACGGAACTATGACCCCGTTCTATTTACCCCAGAGAAAAAAGTTCGCAATCTATTTTCTCACCAAATTTGGTTTAGTTATGATTTCTGAAAACCGAATTTCAAATCTCCACTCTCATATGATAAAACCGAGCAAAAAAACCCGACCAAACTCTGATCTAGATCAGAACAGTAACCTGATCCAACTTTTGAACTTAAAAATATCCGACTGATTGAATCTTAATATGATTAGTCATTGGCATAACATGATCTACAATTTGTTTATAAACAGTAAACCAATAAAAATTGATTTTGTGGGTTTTTAGATTTCGATCTTTATAATTGTGGGGAAATATCGATATTACTTTAATTTGGTGGGGAAATAAGTTGCAAACTTTATTCTAATGGATAAATAGAATGGGGTCATAGTTCCATGAACATTTGGTGCTATACGATATTTCTCGTGGGGAAATCAAACCGTCACCCAAAAAAATTTTAAGTAAAAAAAAAAAGAAAAAAAAAAATAAAGAAAGAAGCAAAGAATAAAAAATATAATAATAATAATAAACAGGAGAGAGAGAGAGTAGTGTTTTAATTGTGCGCACACACACACACACACATTGCTTGCCTCTTCCGCGGCTTGAAGATATCCTGCCGACATCTGTAGAATAAACACGTATCGTCTTCCTTGTTTCAATCATGGATCTCAGCCAGTCTACGGATTAAAAGAAGTTACGCCACAGATCGGACGGAGGGAAGGAAGGTTTTGGGTTGGGAGGGAGAAATTGTTTTTAGATCTGAAACGGAAATCAATCATGGGGTTCTTCAGCACAGTTCTAGGGTTTTGCGGATTTGGGATAGGGATATCCATGGGACTTGTCATCGGATACTTCCTTTTCGTCTACCTCCAGCCCAACGACGTCAAGGTCCTTTGATTCGCCTTCTTTCTTTTTTTGACTCTTACTTAATTAAACTTGTATGCTTGCTTATTGCAGGATCCAGATATTAAATCGATAGCAGACCAAGATCCCAAAGCCATGCTCCGGATGCTTCCTGAGATTCCTCTCTGGGTCAAGAATCCCGACTTCGACCGTGTATGAATGATATGTCAATCAATCAATCATCTTTTCATTCCCTTTGATTCTCTCATGATTTTCCTCCCCGCATCATTATTAGGTTGACTGGATTAACAAGTTCCTCCAGTACATGTGGCCTTATCTCGACAAGGCAATCTGTAAGACTGCAAGGAATATAGCAAAGCCCATCATCGAGGAGCAGATTCCCAAGTACAAGATTGACTCTGTTGATTTTGAAACTCTTACTCTTGGCTCTTTACCTCCTACCTTTCAAGGTTCTTTGTTTCTGAATCTCCTCTTCTTTTCTTTTTTCTTTTTTTCTTTTTAAAATGTAGGACTTATGAGATTATCTCTCTTCACTTCCTTTTTCTCCTCAGGCATGAAAGTTTATCTCACTGATGAGAAAGAGTTGATTATGGAACCTTGCTTGAAGTGGGCTGCTAATCCCAATATCTTGGTCGCCATCAAAGCTTTTGGCCTCAAGGCTACCGTTCAGGTTCTTCTTATATACATTTGCATTTGCATTTGCATTTTCCCTAGCTGTTCCCACTTACCAAGCTACCTTTGTTGTTTTCTCAGGTGGTCGATTTGCAAGTTTTTGCCCAGCCTCGTATCACTCTCAAGCCACTAGTCCCAAGTTTTCCTTGTTTTGCCAGCATTTATGTTTCTCTTATGGACAAGGTTCAACCCTTTTTTTCTTTATAACAGTCACTCCACTTTTTTCTGCTTCTTTCTAATTGACCATCTCTTGCTACTATGGCAGCCACACGTTGACTTTGGCCTCAAGCTTGGTGGAGCTGATCTTATGTCTATCCCTGGCCTCTACAGATTTGTCCAGGTTCCATATTTTTTTCTCTTGCACTATTCTATTCACTGGTTTGGTTTTTTTGTATCTCTCTTACGTTTCTGTTGGATCAGATTTTCATTTGCTGCGTTAATTGTTGTTTTAGGAGCAAATCAAGGATCAAGTTGCCAATATGTATCTCTGGCCTAAGACCCTTGTAGTTCCAATCCTTGACCCTGCCAAGTATGCTCTTCCACTTTATTCCTTTACAAAATTCAATCCATGTCTTAGATCATCATAAAAAAATAAAAAAAAATATCTTAATCTATTTATCTGCAGGGCGTTTAGAAGGCCGGTTGGAATCGTCCATGTGAAAGTCGTGAGGGCTGTTGGGCTGAGGAAGAAAGATATGATGGGTGGGGCAGACCCATACGTGAAGATCAAGCTCTCTGAAGACAAGATTCCGTCTAAGAAGACCACTGTCAAACACAAGAATTTGAACCCTGAATGGAATGAGGAACATAAGTTCTCAGTCAGAGATCCCCAGACTCAGGTCCTAGAGTTCAGTGTGTATGACTGGGAACAGGTAAAGAAGCTATCTACTCCTGAGTGGAGAGGAATGTATCTATCATCTATCTGTTGCTGATTAATATTTTATTTTTGTATTTCCGATGCAGGTTGGGAAGCACGATAAGATGGGTATGAATGTATTACCGCTGAAAGAAATGGTGCCTAACGAACATAAAAGCTTCACCCTAGAACTGCGCAAGACTCTGGAGGGAGCTGAAGAAGGAGTGCAGCCTGACAAGGATAGGGGGAAGCTGGAGGTTGAGCTTTTGTATAAGCCATTTACAGAAGAAGAAATGCCAAAGGGCTTTGAGGAATCGCAATCAGTGCAGAAGGCTCCAGAAGGCACACCGGCTGGTGGAGGAGTGCTTGCGGTGATAGTGCATTCAGCTGAAGACGTTGAAGGTAAGCACCATACCAATCCCTACGTGCGCATCTATTTCAAAGGAGAGGAGAGGAAAACCAAACATGTGAAGAAGAACAGAGACCCGAGGTGGGAGGAGGAGTTCACCTTCATGCTCGAGGAGCCACCAGTGCGCGAGAAGCTGCACGTGGAAGTACTGAGCACCTCTTCCAGGATAGGTCTCTTGCATCCCAAGGTAGCTAAACTCAATACTCAAAACTCACAGTAACACTATCAACCGTTGGCTAAAACTAAAAACGTGGCATGTTTTGATGTGGCAGGAAACACTGGGGTACGTTGACATTCCGGTGGTGGACGTGGTGAACAACAAAAGGATGAATCAAAAGTTTCACCTTATCGATTCCAAGAACGGAAAGATCCAAATCGAGCTCGAGTGGCGAACCACCTCTTAGATTTCGAGAAGAGAAGAGAATATTTGTTTTATGTTGTGATAAACTCTGTGTTATTATTGTTGTTGTTGTACACTATGGGCCTTTAACTCTTAAAACCAGAACCAGACATCGGATTTGCAAAGCCCCCTTTATCATTTACATGTTTGTGTCTTTCGCCTCTTCTATATTACTCGGTACTGTGACTCTACTGCTCATTTTTACAAAGCAAAAAATAAAATCCATGACACACGACAGTATTAAGTTTAGAGAAACTATGTGAAATATACATAACAAAAAACAAAGAAATGTATATACTCATAACAAGCGACAGGCTGAGTATTATTTTATGAAACAATCCAATAATACTCTCAGTATGATTTTATGAAACAATCCAATAATACTTTTTACCTGCGCATAGAAGGTTGAAAGCTATCATTTTACTTTTAATCTAAAAATTAGAATATATTTTTATGTACGAATCTATCGCATATTAGGCGATGTCATCGATTGCATAGCACAAGCCAATGAATCAAAGTAATCTAAGATGATTTTATAGCATAGGAGAGATATCATAAGTTTCAGAGTCACAACACTCTGTTTTTTTAAACTACTAAATCAGAATCACTGTTTCTTTTACAGATCCGATTGTAAAAGGTTGTTGGTGGGACAACGAGAAAGGTAATACGACACAAACTTTGAGTTAAACTTTAATTTTGTAACTTAACATAGAATTTTTTCTATTTTAGTTCTGAAAACGTGACCTAACCATATATGTATTTGTGTTTGTTTCGTCTGTTTTTTTCTAACATAAGTTTATGGGTTCGTGGATAGAGGAGAAAGTAGTTGATTCTATTGATATACTATTAAAAAAACGTAAGTAGTATAGTAACGTGTAATATTTTGAATTTTGCTTGGGATGGCTAGTACAATTAATAATAAGAGATTGTAATATATTTTGGCCTTGTTGTGTTCCTTGGATTGGGTATTTTCTTTTGTTTGGGTTGAGTAGTGCAGTTAGTAAGACAATTACATTTATTAATATGCTACTAGTATAAAGGGATTATTCTATACCATTTGTCAAACATATATAATATAGTACAGTTGTTATGTTTCATACATTTCAGTCACATCTGCCTACCATTTGTTGTCAAGCCAGTTGATAACACGTAAGAAGTATGAGCTATGGTAGGTGTTTGCACGAAAGCAAATCTGTTATGGGTTTAGAGACTTCGCCTTAGTGGCGTTCAGTGGCGGAGCCACATAGAGCAACATGGGGGTATTGAACCCAACAAGATTTAAAAATTTAGTGTAAATTATTAAAGTCAATCTCTATTTCCCCACTCTAAATATTTGAGTTTAATATTGATGCCCTCAACAATAATATTTTCTGTCTCCGCCACTGGTGGCGTTTGTTGCAGCGGTTGTTCTCCTGAAACTCATGGCAACTTATTGGTAAGATATCCTCATAGAAACCTCCTCTAGCATCGCAGCAACATGAGTTCAAAGTATTCTCCAGCTTCAGTATGGACTACTCACACAATTTGCAACAACATCCTATCTCTATATGCATGAATCCATGATGTTGTTATGTAAGTCTTGAATGCCATGCCTGGATTGCATAACATGAATAGTTTTGTTGCAGTTTTTGTTCAAATGACCATATATTGACATGGTTTGTGCTCTTATGTCATCTCTAAATCTGTAGTTGTATAGTTGTGTTTGTTCGTTTTGTTGCAAATGTACTATACCATATGGCCTAATAGTATAGTTCATTGCAATTTTTACATAATGTATTAATTTGATGCGATTGAGTGGAACTTCTATACTATGTGGAAAGTGGTAGTAGTATAGTTATTCATCTAAGGATGTACTTTTTAGGTACCCGTGTGTTCCATTATTGGGCATACATTTGTTTATGTGATTTTTGTACATGATTTACGTTTCACAGGATTATCTTGTGTGCTAACGCTTGTGCTTCTAGAACTTAATGCCACACGAAACCTGAATCAGTGTGCCTCACTCACAGTTGAGTCACTTGCGTTGGAGCCTTCTCGACCTTCAGATCCGAAGACTCCCGTAATGACATGTTGAATGGAACCCATATGCTGTGCTCTCTACTCATGTGCTAAAATCACCAGTTATATCCTTGTTGCCGATTTCTTATGTGTAACATTGCATGTAATTTGAGTGAATATCGTAACTATACTATCTAATTTATACGATAGTATAGGAATTGACTTGGCCATACATGGCACTTGTGTTTGTATACTAATGTCATTTATAGTAGATCCCAGCAATTGGGTCCTCTTTACATTCGCCAGTTGTATTACATGCTTCATTTACCTATAAAAAACACATTTTCATACCCGATATCTAATATATTGTATTTTTGACATAGAATAGGTATTCTCTACTAATGGTTTTAATGGTTTTATCGAGTCTTTCCAGTTGTTTTTAGTCATTACAGGTTGAAGAGTTCCAGAGATGAGGAGAACGATCGTGTGGAAGGAAAAGAGTAGAAAGGAATCTGTTTTGAAGATTTTTCTTGAAGCGAACAGTCTGGCAAGATGTTCCCCTGTGATCAGAACAGTTTGTCAAGCTG